TCCTGCTGCTGGTGTCCGATAGCAGAGTCCTCAAACCGGTAACTCTCGCTGCTGGTCATGAGAGCATACACCAGGGCTTGTGGGTAGCACTCGGCTATCTGCTCAATAATGTTTTGTACTGTCACCGCTTCTGGCTTGTCCAAGAGAGCAACCATTTGACTGATCCAGCCAATCAGCATCCAGCAGGGAACCGACATCAACTAAATACAGACATCGGATAATGCTGTCAGTGTTCAGGAGATTACATTAAACTGAAATCAAGGGTCTTCATGACAGCTGCAATGTAGAATTTTACTTCTAAGACTGAAATTATTGTTTGATCATTATTCTACTTTACAAGATACAACAGTCTGGATTCCACCTCAGATGTTAATATTTGTCTTTTAGCCAGTAATGAGATGCTGTGACTAGAGCCACCTTATGCCAATACAACTGCTACTAATTAAAGGCCATCACAAAAAAACTGCTAAAATTCACATATTTCCATCTCCACCACTCCATCAGCCCCAAAAGGTTAAAATGTATGCATATGCAAACACACTATTATTCCCCATTACACTCTTAACACACAAACCTCTGTTGTCATGAGGTCTCGTGTCTCAACAGGGTACAGCTCAATGATCTGCAGCAGACGTGGGAACCTGAGGTGAGCTTCCTCCGAGTTCAGCTTCAGTGCTTTCAGTGTGCTCTGCACTAAATGAACAGGCAGTGCCAGAGCATCTGGAAATTGATTTTCTGCAACAAAAAAAAAAAAAGCCACTATATTGTTTATAATGTACCAAGTTGTCCATCTCTCGTTTTTCTTTCTGGGTGTACAAGCCCATTATGGTCCCTGTTAGAAATCAGTCTGCAGATCTGGGGGTGTTCTTCCTGTTTGAATTAACAGGTTAGTCGGATAACTCCGTTGACAATTTCACATCATCTTGGATGTGTTGGTTCTTCTAAAGTCTCGCAGGACTTGTTGTTATGGCAACATGTCTAATCTCAAACCTACTCGAGTGCAGGTTAGTTCTCAGTCTTATTCAATGTAAACCAAATAACTTCTCAGATTTAAAGGGTTCTGGTGCAGGAAGCGCCTCACTGACATCGGAGTGATTATAATAAGACATTAAAATAAGAAAATAGACAGTACTGAGAGATGGACAGAACCTTTTGGCCCAAATCATTCAGATTCAGTGGATTGTTAGCTAAGCTGTGTGTGTATGGCAGGAACACAGCCCTTCCTCCTGTGAACAGAGAGTGACACAGAGAAAAATACAGTGGAAAAGCAAAGTAGGACAGTCCACGTCAACCTGTGAGGCTATGCCAGGTGCTGGTTAAGGGAAACACAGGGGGTACTTGTTACATACTGCTGTTAACAGATGTAGGCTATCAAAGTATCATATATTATACCACAAGTTACCGGCACACAGTAGTGAACACCATGTACAGTATGCTGCATAGAAGTAGACAACTTCTTTGTAAACACTCATTTTAAATCTGATTTATGAAACAGCTGATGTTGTAACAATGTGTCAATGTCGGCTTTGACAGACAATGTGGTGGACATAAAAATGCACAATTACTGTATTGATAGTTTAATTGGTTAGGTATATAGTGCCTTGCAAAAGTATTCATACCCCTTGAATTTTTCCACATTGTCACATTACAACCACAAACTTAAATGTATTTTATTGTGATTTTACGAGATAGACCAACACAAAGTATCGCATAATTGTGAAGTGGAAGGAAAATGATACGTGGTGTTCAAGATTTTTTACAAATAAAAATCTGAAACATGTGGCATGCATATGTATTCAGCCCCCTTCAGTCAATACTTTGTCAAGGTCAACGGCCAAAGTGTTTGTCATATGCACAGTTAGGAAACGTGTTTCCTTGTACAATGAAATTCGTACTTTGCCTTCCACATGAATGCCACAAAATAAAAATGAAATATAAAGTAGATAAATAAGTAACACAAAATCTAAGGCACTTTAAGTAGCAAATGCAGCAATATGATAAAACTATATGAAAATATAATAAGAGAATGTATGCTGCATGGAAGCAGCATGTGCAGCAGTCAACAGTCAATGTGCAATTATGCATGTGCAAACTGAGAATGCAAACAGTACAGGTGGACAGTACATGATGTATTTCCTGGTAATAAACTCCTCAGCTGTTTAGGAGTCTGATGGCAGAGGGAAAGAAAGAGTTTTTCAAACTGGAGGTCCTGCAATTCACACTTCTGAACCTCTGGCCAGAGGGTAGGGAGGTGAACAGTCCGTGCTGGGGGTGGATGGGATCTTTGAGGATGGAGGCAGCTTTCCTACGCACCCTGCGGTGGTAAATGCTCTGTAGAGAGAGCAGTGGAGTGATCTTCTCCGCAGTCTTTACCATTCTCTGCAGGCGCTTGCGGTCCATAGCAGTAGTGCTGCCATACCAGACAGTGATGCAGCTGGTCCAGATGCTCTCAATGATGCAGCTATAGAAGTTGCAAAGGATCCTAGGTGACATGCCAAACCTCCTCAGGAAGTACAGCCGCCATTGGGCCTT